AAATTTCAAGAAAAAAGTAAAAATTAAAAAAAAAAAAAAAAAAAAGTTAGAATTGTGAGAGAAAAAGTCGTAATTACCATTTTTATTTTTTATTCCATGGTGAGAAAAAAGTCAGAATTGTGAGCGAAAAGGTCTCAGTTACCTTTTTTTAAAAATTCCATGGCAGAAATAGGCTTCCATAACTTTGTATGCACGAAAAAGATGTTGACAGTCAAAACGTGACATTGGACATTAAACATCACTGTTTCGGTCAATGATTTCAGCCCTCCGTGAACCCTTTTATTTGGTTGCCTAAATTTCGGTGTATCACTTAATAAAATGTAAGACTTAGGGAGAAAAGGGATGACTGTATGGTCGAGGTGACAAAGAGAGGAAAAGGCGGCAAAGTAGTTTCAAAAGTGAGGAGGATGAGGGTGGCCTACGAAGGGAAACTCACACTGTGGTCATTTTTCCCAGAATGAATCATCTAATGGCCTTCCGTCTTTGAAGTTCCACATGCTACACAGTCCATTTTCTTTGTCGTAAAGGTACATCTGCTCTAAAGATGTTAAATTCCCATCAACCCATTGAGGGATCAGTGAGTTAATGGCCCTAAACATTCAGCTGCTTCTCAATCACTCTATTATAAAAGTAATATAACGTCTCTTCAGGATAAGCAAGGAGCCGATCAATCCTCCAGAGCATCAGTGGGTTTTGCAGGGTGCTGTGGTTGGTGTTTGGGTTGTGCAGGTTGGACATGCTAGTAAAGGGAGAAGGGGGGCCGGGTGGGTCTTGGGAGTCACATTAGGGTCCACTGGGTCAAACAGAGAAGGACAGGGTGTGGCATAATCCATCCCCCTTATGTGTGCAGCCCTGCCACTAACCCACTCCCACCCCTTACCTGAGTGCCACTTAACTTTTCAAGTGGACTCTCTACGCAGGGCAGCGCCACCATGGGCATGCCCAGGACAGACTCAGGACGCTGGAGTCGCACCGGCGGGGGTGGGGGCTTTGTCTGCTGGAAGCTGTTGATCACACACGTCACCTAGAGAGAGAAGAGAGAGAGAAAAAAAAAACTTGCTGACCCCAAACTTTTAAACAGTAGTGTATATGCATTTATTTACATTTGTATATTATACATTACTTGTATTTGCATGCAATTATCTCTTCATTTGAGTGTTGTTTTATCCCACTCCACACGCTCTCACCAGAAAGACAGCGATGGCTCCGCCGGTGAAGTATCCAGCGAGGACGTCGGCCCAGTGGTTGCGGTATTCAGCCACTCTGACCACACCCACCAGCATGGCCAGACACAGCAGAGTCAGACTGAGCGTGGGTTTGGTCAGACGCGTCCCTTTAGTCCTAAACACCAACGTCACGTACATCTGCAAGCACACAGACATACAGTGGTGAACAATATGACTGATACAAGTTGTATTTATTATTCTTTCAAGAGATTATATATACAGTATACCCCACACCTAAACTTAACAACGACCTTACTAAGTATTAATAAGCCACGGTTTAGGAGTTTATTGAGGCAAAAGTCATAGTAAACAGTTAGTTAATAGTGAGAATTGGTCCCCAAACTAAAGTGTGACCCAATTCATAATAGCCATTTTCTATTTGAACATATTCGAAAATGGAATCGATTCATATAGCGCAAAGACTTCAGTGTCAAAATTTATTGACCCCGAACAGTTTTCT